GCAGATGCGTCGCACTGCAGAATAAATTCCCTATTGAAATCAGGACAACTAAGGATGGGGGCAGAAACTAAAAAGTCCTTAATGGATTGAAACGCAGCTCCACACTCCGACGACCATTGGAATTTAACATTCTTTTTCGGCAGCCTACACAACGGCTCAATAACAGATGAGAAATTCGGTACAAACTTCCGATACCAAGAGACCATCCCTATAAAGCTACGCACTTCAGTAACACTACCCGGAACAGGAATATCTACGATCGACTGGACTTTACCAGGATCAGGGGGTAACCCCAACCGATCAACCACATACCCGAGATAAGACAGCTCGGAACGACAAAATCAGCATTTATCTTCCGCTATAACAAGACCGGCTGGGTGCAGATGATCCAAAACACACTCCAACAACTTAAGGTGAGACTCAAAGTCTCCCGAAACGAGAATAATATCGTCTAAGTACACGAAAACATTGGGCTGAAGATCTGCACCCAACACGTTGTCGATAATACGTTGCCACGTGGCTGGAGCATCAGTAAGCCCAAACGGCATTCTCTTGAAATGATAAAGACCACTACCAGGAATAGTAAAAGCGCTGAACTCCCGCGACTCTGGAGTCAAACCAACCTGCCAGAACGCACTCTTGATATCGATAGAACTAATAAATATCGCGTTGCGTAACTGATCCAAAATAGACGAAATATATGAAAGAGGATATGTATCCTTTTTCGTAACAGCATTCAACTGACGATAATCCACGCAAAATTTATAAGACCCGTTCTTTTTGCGAACCAGACATACAGGCTACGACCAGGCGGAATTAGAAGACTCAATCACGTCCAGCTCCAACATTCTTTTGAGTTCTTCATCTATGATACGCTGTTTGTGCGGAGAGACGGGATAATAACGTTGTTTAATTGGCTTAGTGCCGGGCGCATCCGATAGAATCTGGCTTACGTTGTAACTTGGTTTTCAGCAGTAATTCTAACGCGCTTTTCTGCTCGAGCGACAACTTGCTTTCGTCCAGAACACTATTCAACGAAAAGGGGTCACACGGCTACTTCGAAAAATGCCAAACATTCTGCCTCAAATCCGGTACGATATTCATCACCTTCCAAAAATCTACTCCCAGAATCAACTTCTGAGGAACCGCCGGAACGACTAAAATTTCAAGGAGCCGCACGCGATCCATCAACCTCACGGTAGCGCGAACATAACCAGGACAATGAGATTTGGCACCATTTGCAATGGTGCACTGCAAATCAACAGGGTTTAGACACACTCCTGAACTCCTCAAAACTTCCCATCCTGGACCACCAAGAATAGTTCTGGAAGCTCCCGAATCTAACAACTCGCAAAAACCAACACCTTGTATCAACACGTCGAGATAGGGTCTTTCATCTCCTTTAGCGTGTTGCAATACGTTCTGCAACACATAACGCCTATTGAGTTCATCTTCGTCCACCGAACCCGGAAAGAAATTTTGCCTGGTCGCTATCGGACTAGAAGGGTTGACGCTGCGAACACCCTGGACAGTTCTGTACCGTAAAACCGTGCTTACCACAACGATGACATTTTAACTTTCTTGAAGAAGGACATTCACGTCTTACGTGACTGGACTTTCCACAATTCCAGCATGCGATTGACCTAGAAGAATGCTCTACAGCACCGGACGAACACGGAACTGATTTATCTGGAAACCGAGCCTTCGAACTAGTCTTACTAGTCCCTACCGGATGCCTCAACAGAAGTATCCGATATCTCGAGATACGCAAGATCTGGTTCCAAAAAGTAACGTGAACCGCGCTTAGGGGGAGACTTGAACATTTCCACCGAAGCTTTCCTAGACTCGGCCAATTTACCTAACTCCAAAAGTTCCTCCTGCGATGTAACAGGCGCCTTACACTCTCAAAAGAGCTAGGGTAGTTTTTTTGTTAGGAGGTTGGCAAGGGGTGGCGCAAACGCCATCGCGCTTCTTTGACTCGCTCTTGTTTTGATTTTCGTGTGAGTGCAAGTGTTTCTTTGTGAAGAAAACGCCTTTGTTTAAACGAATATCATTGTCTACGAACGAATTATATCGTCCAGTAACGCTTTCTTTCATTTTGAAAAGTCGGAAAATTTAAAACCACGTGATGTCGCCTCCGTATGCGGTAACTTTAGTGCGTCTTTCTTTTTGTTCATCAGCCGGTCGCACAGGAGTTTTCAAAAGTGTTTTACTTGAATACTCAGTTGCATTTTACAAAGGGCTTTTGAATACCCTTTCTCGAGCGGTACTCATTGTCCATGCGTGGAGTTTAACCTAAACACGAACTAATGTATGTACTTGTTTTGAACAGAACAATTAAGGAAAATCGCGTCTAGCAAATTAGAAAAAAAAAACGCGAGTCATGAGGGACGGGGGTTTTATTCCACTGATCTACCTTATTCCACAGTGCCAGTGATAAATCGACTTTAGATCATTTTCGGCGCCCATGCTCAACATAACGCAGAAATTTGGATCCTGCCACATTTGGCCATGTGTTACTTGTGTTTATTTCGTATGTGTTTGTTGGGGGCATCTAATTTGGTTCACGTCTAATTTCTTTTAACCTCATGGAACAACTTAACCATAGAACTCTTGTCCACATTCTAACTGCTCATAACATTTTGCTTGTCTAAATTTCAATCTCTAATAAAGTTTGCTTCGTTTACATTTTAACCTTGCATAAGGTTCATTGTTGCATTCTTGTTCAATTTTTAATATCACATAAAGTTTTGTATAGTCGTACAATTTTTAACATTAACTGCAGTCCTGGGGATTCGATTTTAATATCACATAAACAATCCTCTTTCTCATGTAAATGTTTCGTTTGAAATGCTAACGTCATGTTAATATTTTGTTGTTCATTTTAACACCAAATCAAAGTTTGTTTATCTAATATTAAGAGCACGGTGTGGCGTAGTAAATTGACCAGTAAAGTAAGGTTAGAATTTAGAATGCGCGGCAGTTCATAATTCAAAAATTCTACTATGGGTTTCTTATGGGAGCTTGATTTTACAGACAAAATACGCCGCATAGGTAGAAATCTTAACTAGTTCATGCTACAAGCGATAAAGACTGTACAATTATCTTCGTGTTACTAAAGGTTTAACTATATAAAAAGCTTCTGTTAAAGATATATTGCAAATTAAAAACAACGCTATCCATCGAAGTAACGTACATCGTTTCTAACGTCTTGCGCATGAGTGAAACGGAAAATCCAGAAACACTTGGGAAAGAAAAAGAACGCGAATATTTTGCGGTACTAGTGACGTTTAGATCGTGAAAATCCCCAAAATATGACAGTTGATTTCGTATTTTCATCACAACAAACAATCATAATCACAATTTTTGGATGATATATTAGTTCTGTGATATTGATTCACATTAGGTTGTATGTATCTGTCGACTGGTTTTTTTGTATTTGTTATTAATAATGACAGAAAGACATGTGTTAACAATAGGGGCAATTGCCATTTTTTTTTGTTGGAGAAAATTCTTTACAGTCAAATAATGTAGCGAAAGTCAATTGGTATACTGAATTAAATGTGCTTGAAGAGTTTATTCGAGCTAGAATGCGAGAAGATTATGGTAAGTTAATGTATATTGATAAATTCTGTGTCAAGTAAAATTATGACGTATTTTGTTTTATTATGCATAGATATTCCTTAAGAGAGGCAACATGTGAAACCCCAAGAGGTGCATTTGTATATCATCATATGGCTACACCTGCCTTACACGGACGTTATAATGTATTGTGGACCAATAATTTGCGTGCTTGAGACGTACATCTGAAGAAAAGTGAATCAGCTGAGGTCCGAGCTGTTGTCTCTGAAAATTCTTTTAATCCCCAAGTCAGCCTAAAAACAGCTAATGTTGAGGTACAACTTCATGAAAGCTTAGGACAAACTGATAGGAGCGAAGCACTGCTTTTGCTATTGGGCCCTGAACTGGAAAGATCTGAAGAAAACCTACTTCACAGTGTCGAAGAACTATTAGTGTCCGAGGACTACTTTAATGGCCCATCAAGAAAACAGTTTGTGGGTCAGTTTTTTACCAAAAGTGAATCAGATTTTGCATTAGGAAGTGCAATTTTTTATTGTAAAATACTTTTTTTTTGTTTTGAAATAAATTCTTCTTTAAATTGTGATTTTTTTTTAAATGGGTGTTTCAGACCCAATTCGTACTAAAATGAAAGTGATTTTTACTTGTACATGAAAGGTTGAATCAGGAATGCTAAGTTTTTCCTTTTCTAGCAAAAATGTGTGAAAAGAAAAAAGCTTGGGATTGATGATGATTCTTAAATCAAAATTTGGCAATTGATTGAAAACATTTGCAAATATAAGATCTCCTTTATGTATTATTTTAAATTCACAGCCGTATCTGTAGCATCTGAAAATCAAAGCCATTTATGTGGAGAGGGAAGTCAATGGCAGTATGAACCACTGTACGACATACGTTCGAGGCAAATGTAGTGGTAAAAGTTGAATTTAAATATTTATTAAATACTACCGGTTCCGTTCATGTTTGGTATCAAGATCAACAGTAAAAATATCAGTCTTAATGGTACAGGTAGTGGGATATATAAGAAAATTACTTTTTTGGTACAATTTAAGCGTTAAAGTGACGCCTCGATTTCACCCGTAAGGATTACACGGGGAACTGAAATACGGGTCTCGTGTTATGAACTGAGTTCAAATTTCGCACGTCATTCACTTTACTGGTCAATTGTGCCTGATTCTTTCCAATGATAACTTCTAAAGTTTTGTTTAAATGTTTCTTCCTGTCTAAGGTGTACTATAATTGTCCAATGATTTGTACATGATGTTGTAACATTTGACGTATGTAAGACTGATGTAGTACCAAACATGAATAAATTTATTTAATTATTATTTTATTATTATGCTGATGTTATATAGCTATAACATAACATTATTTGTAACATCATACATAGGCCTTTTAGCTTTATGTTATACTTATAACTGCTACCATTGTGTACGGTTGTCTGGGTAAACGTTCCAGTTTTCTCGACAGGTATTATACGTGTCCCTTCTGCTTCCTGGGGGACAGTTGGCGGGGATATAAACCAAAGTCAGTTTTTGTGGTTCTTTTAAACATTCAACCTTCAAAGTTGTAGTATTGACACCAAAAATCCCGCCCCCAAATTGAACGGGTGCACACGGTCCATCGGGTTTATTCAATTCGTAACATACGCCCTCGTAGCTAAAAATGTTGTTAATTTACATATTCAAGCCATTTTTAAACTGGACAAACCTGCCAAAACCCTCTTCACAGGGGTTGACGACGCATTCACTAACCACTTTGTCGGGTTTCAGAATTAAGTGATATGTTTGAGGACAAGGACCTTGTCTGTAGGCACCGAAGCAGGTATCTTCAGGAGGATAGTAAATGTAACCTGAAACCCTTTTCGTAACTACTGAACTGGTTATAAACCGACATACCTGGTCCACAATCACAGATCCAGTCATCATTTATTTGCTTCCCTGGATAAAGTAATTGGTTTTCTGGACACTTGTCTGGAGCAAACACAGGTATTCTCTCCTGAATGGTCAATTTTAGTTTGTTTTTTGAACGAGGTCACGGTACTTACATTTTTTTTATCTTCAAGGGAACCGTTGTCTTGACAATTATAGCCAAGTATGACAACGACTAATAATGAAAGAAATTTGTTCATTGCGTTTCGTTAACTCTAAAATGATAATTGCTTGAAAAATTCCAGTACTTTTAAGTTAAATATTAATATTCGGTTATGATAAAAAATCGCTTTTAAAATTTTAACGTTTACTTTTAGTGAGTGATGCCGATCGCGAATGACAATTACGCCGTTGTGCCAATTCAAAAACTACTCTAATTTTACAAGTCCTGGCGTTTTTAAGGTTCCAAAAACAATGCTCACTAAAAGTAAACGTTAAAATTTTAAGAGCGATTTTTTAATATGTTACGCATGACTTCACTTGAATTAAAATGAGCTCTCTGACGTCAATTACATAAAATACCACACAGTGGAGAAAAATAATGCCAATTTAAAAAATATCACTTCCAAGTTTTAAATGCGACTTAAATAGTTTCAGTGGCAAAAGAGCATAAGGAGAAGAAAATTTATGTGATTGACAAAATGGCGGAAGGTCGTAGAGTTATTCGCTTGTGTCCGTGTCATTGTCAATTCAATGCAATTGAAATGGTTTGGAGTCAAGCGAAAAGATATTATGATAAATAAATTGGGTAAAATGGTTACAAGGACGAAGTTAACTTAGTATGTGGGAGGAGTCTCTTCAACAAGTTTCCGTAGAACATTGGAGAAATTATTTAATAAAAGTTGAAGATTGACATTGACATTTTCAAGATTTGGTGGGAAAGGAAAAGGTTTTTACATTAAGTCGATGCACTTGTCATATCTGCAAATGACCAAGATGATGGTAATTTTGGGTTTTCGGGTTCTGATGATGAAGAAATAAATGTTTAATGTGTAAATTTGTTTTGTTAATTGTAAATAATAAAGAAATAGGTCACGTTTAAAAAAATTGACGCATGCTCCCTCCTCTCATTCTACCTCCATGGCTTCAACTTATTTGCCCTATACTAAAAAACAAGGACAACTTTAAATTTCACCCTTACTTGCAAAAAGAAGGGAACATCGTGTTCTTTAATAGGTAAAACAAGTGCGGTATAAACATACTGGGTGATAATTGTTGATTTACAATCACCCCGGTTTATGGCTTAGCACTTTATACTCAACATACAAATACATTGAAATATTATTCCCTCGATGCCTTCAAATATACGATACGGCCTTTACAAGATCGATTTGTTTAAAATTAACATTAGTGTCGGTTGATCAGGGTAAATAGTTTCTACCCAAAAATATGGACCATCAAAACATATATTTTTCTATCATAAAAATTCGAAATAAAGTAGTATTAGAACATGTCAAAAAAGTACGTTAAAAAAAATTAATTCTTTTGCCAAAAAGATTGTGAACGCGTTTTGTTATTTCTAAACATAAGCGTTTCCATACAGTTAAGCTAGTCGGACTCAGAACATCAAAGCGATACGGAGTCATGTTTAAATGCACTCAGCCTATGATTATTGCGTGATATTTTCTTATCGAAGTTTTTGTAATCGGAAATTAAAATTTAAAGCGTGTAATTGATGTCAGAGAGCGTATTTTAATTCAAATGCAGCTATGTTTAAGATATTAAAAAAAATCGCTCTTAAAATTTTAACGTTTACTTTTAGTGAGCATTGTTTTTGGAGCGTTAAAGACCTCAGAATTTGTAATTGTTATTCGCAATCAGTATCACAAAAGTTAAAATTTTAAGAGCGATTTTTTATCACAGGCGAATATTAATATTTAACTTTAAAATTCCTGAAATTCAAGCTGTTATCAGTTTAGAGTTAATGAAACGATGTAAAAAGTGATTGGTCATTTGGCAACTGATCTATAGACGCGAGGAAAAATTTACGAAAATCTCCTTGCAACTTGTTCATTTTTATTTTCACTTTCGTCTTTGGATGACAAGACCTTGATATTGGTGGATATTTTTGGTTAAATCACTAGCCAGTGGATGTATCCAACTGAGATTTTTATGATTGCATTGATAGATGTTGGGAATATAACTTACAGTGCAAGTTTTGTAATGAAACTTTTACACAAAATAATTATATGATAGAAGATATAATACTCTAAATGCATTAACTATCTTAAGTGTCAGTAGTGTCACCTTAGTTATTTAATTGCATTACACTGCGCTATTTTCGCTGAATAAAATAATTGTTGACTTTGCCCAGTTTATTTGGTTTCTCCCTAAGTCAGTGAGTGATAAAAAAACACCACTTCCCATTTAAAATCTACCCATGATAAATTTAAATATTCATTTTTGTAAAAAAGTTATGGTTTGTACGGATGTAGCACATTTTTAAAATTTCAGTTTTTGTCGGTAGTACCCGCACATCTTTTGTGCAAGTGACAAAGAAACATTTTTTTATTTAAAAACACTAGCATCTATCACTAGTTTCTTAGCGTGTATGTATGTTACTTAGTAAGTAGGATTAACTTAAGCAGGTGATTGTTATTAAGAATTGTACAGATACGAAAACCTAAATACACTTCATACCAGCAAATAATAATCGCTCCAGTAAACAAAAAAGAAAAACAATCAATAGGTATATAAGATTTCACCAACAATGATCTTCCAAAATCAGTATAAAGTCGCACAAGAGAGAATCTTCTTCAAAAATCTGTTAGCATAATCACATACTCGCCACAGCAACATGTTGTTGAGGCAAAACCAGGACAATCTGGAGGTAGTACCACCGCTACCGAATGTCGATTCTGGAACCAACCACCACAGGTCGAAGCGGCATCGCGAACTCTTTTACAAATTCATTTTCATAAACAAATGTTTGGAGCAGCCACAAGTTTTTGTATTCCTTGGAACTCCTGTAGAAATAATCCATTTTTATCCCTTCGTCCCGAAAAATAATTTATTATTACTTACTTATTTTGTAACTAATAAGCCTCTTTTCTGGTGAAAGTTTGAAGCTTTTACAGAAAAATTAAAATAACAAACTTTGTGATAGTGTTGTAATCAATATTTTCTTTAATTATTATTAATGAATATATGCTATTCTAAAGGAATGACGCTCCTTTGTTTTACGAGTATAGGTTATTCAGATCCTTTTAAGGGGATTAAGATTGGTATATAATGTTTTGAGAACTATTTATAACTTATAAGAAAATATTAAACAGATTTTGAAGATTTCTTTAATTATAACAGTATTAAGTAGTGTCACTAGAAATTAGACCCTTTTTTAAGTAAACAAGTCTCATTCCTTCAGGTGAGACATTTGTTAATAAATTTATAGACGACAAAAGAAATTATTTCCTAAGTACTTACTATTTTTTGTGTTGTTCTAACCGTCTTTTGATTCTTTTTGCAATAAGTTTCATAATAAGTTATCCAAAATGGAGTAAATTTTTTACAAAAACAGGTACCAGTGTAATTTTGGCCGAAACTTGTGACGGCCCATAATTTACAGGGCATTGAAGTAAAATATTTTGCAAAGTGATGGCTAGACACACTAGCCACACTTGCATCCCACTAACGTAAAATATTTTCTTAAATTATGAATTATTATTTGTGATAGAGGTGGATATTCTCTAAATGTAATTAATTCTTATGGTCATTTAGAAAAGTATTTATCACATTCGAATGAAATAAACGAGGGAAATACTCGTTGTTACCCTAACAGTAGGATTAGCTAGGTAAAGTTTGTCTAGAATTATAAGAATTTGATGGACTTAATTCGTTTTACAAACCCTGGCGTCTATTTTATTGTACAGCTGCAGAGTTTGCTTGTAAAACAACCTGTATATGGAAAACACCTGATGTTCCCTACGCGATCAGTCAGGTATTATAGCAGCTTGACGATACAAACAACAAACAATAGCAAACAATAAAATTTGTACCTGCTTGTCAGACTGCTCGATGCGTGGTGAATTTGGGTGCAGTAAACATTGGTTTTCCCCTGACAGGCTTTTCAGCAGTACAGTAAAATTGACGAAAGGGCTGTAAAACGGATTAAGTTTGGGTGTCCCTAAAATTCTTATAATTCTATACACACTTTACCTGGTATTTTATAATCAATGACCGAACTGCGGAAAGGAGAAGTTTGAACAACTGAATAAATATTTAGTAAATAACTTGAACATAATATTCATATCAATTTTCAAATAACTTCACCTTCTTTTCTTTTCGTTCTTTTTAAAAAGTATTTATCGAAAAACCACCCATATATCACATACTTATATATAGATTTGTGTAATCACAAGTTAATACTTATTAGTTGCATATAATTTCCGAAATTGTTAAATAAAACCACCGTAAACTAAACTAAAATATAACGAATTACCTTACCTTACCTACTTATTATCTACAATTATGACATGATATCAGCAAATTTGTAGCTAACACATTTCACAAAATTATACCTTGAAATTTCATTATTTTTGAACTGAACAATTTTAGATTCTATAAACATAATGTAGCCTTTATGAACTACATCTTTTACAATATAACGTGTTTGGTTTTTATGCACGGAATTTATTTTTATATAATTATGTAGGAATCAGTTTGAAAAGACTTTTTAAAGGGTCAAAAAAAACAAAAATATTTGGATGGGTAGAGGAGCAATAATTTTTGAATTTTGAATGAAATCGTTAACATGCATTCATAATTCTATAAATGCTGGCGCTATTTGCTGCCCAAATTTTTGGCGAGAATGTTGCATTTTCATCTATGCACGTTTCGACAAGGTAATCGATAAGTTTATCAATTCGGACGTCTTTCGGCTCTTCCGCCATAAAGTCCTCCACAAATGAATCTCCAACTTCCTCGGGAGATAAGAGAATTAAACCAAACAGATTTCGTATCCATCTGCCAACTTCTGGCTCGCTATTTTTGCATTCCACACTCAGTCCCACACTTTGTATTTTACGCCACCTGTAACGAAAATCAAATTACTTGAAAGATGGAAAAATTCTAAAATCCTAGAACTGACAATGTGAAAATTTTTAAAAATTATAATTATTATTACATACATATTTAAAATCCAAACCAGAAAAATTACAAATCAAAAACTGAAGAATGGAAAAATTGAAAAATCAAGAATCTC